GGTCACGCCAAGCGCAGATAACACAAAACTGCTGTGTTACTAGGATGCATTTTATTTCGCACTCAAAATTGACAATAAAATTAAATGAATCGGTTGTTACGTAATTTGTTAAATGTTAATGTATATCGCAATATGCAAAACAATCGCTAAAACATATGGTATGCGAGCTTGTATTTAATATAGGTTATCAGCACTGCATTGGTTCGAATATACAAGATCTGTAGTCGGACGTAAATTCCGTGGCCTTATCAGCCTTCGATTGGAACTTAGCCTATTTTCGATGCATGTTACTAATATGTGAATTTGTGCGACTACAGTCATAAATATTGATTATGTAATAGCAAGTTTAAGCTTTTGTGCGATGTTAAGCTCTAGTTTCGACGTTTGCCGGCGCTGGCAGGCGATCGCGTAGAGGGCGCGGTGAGACTGAGGATGAATCTATGCACATTTACGTCAGCCCGCTACGGGGTCGTTCCTACTATATTATTTATGGTTATATAATAACATGGCAGCGCCGCCGCCCGGCCCTTGCAGGCTTCAAGTGCAACTTTGTTGCCTGATATTTGTAACAGACTAGACCATTATGTCCCAAGTACAATACAATATTTGAAAAGAATTTAAAAAAGGTTCGTATTACTACATTTGAGACAAAAACTGTTACAAAAAAAAACAAAATACCCGACTGCACACTAAAAAAAGAGTAAAACAAGCCCCACAATAATATTGATCAATCAAATGCTAAAAACTAATTATGTAATACCGTTTAAACAATACCTATATTAAAATACACTACAATATGTGTTCGTAATCGATAGTTAAATAAACAGAAACTTATTTTGAATACAAATTTACTGAATATAATTTATAAATGTTGATGGAATGCATCGCAGGCGGGGACCAACAGAGGCTTATTTATAGTCATTTCGGTTGTGCACCATTTAGCAGAATTTTCGTTGGTGGCGGTCAAGGTGGTCCCCGCCTGCGATGCTTTCCATCAACATTTATAAATTATATTCAGTAAATTTGTATTCAAAATAAGTTTCTGTTTATTTAACTATCGATTACGAACACATATTGTAGTGTATTTTAATATAGGTATTGTTTAAACGGTATTACATAATTAGTTTTTAGCATTTGATTGATCAATATTATTGTGGGGCTTGTTTTACTCTTTTTTTAGTGTGCAGTCGGGTATTTTGTTTTTTTAATAATATTTTTTTTATTTATAACTTTTTAGCTGTTTTTATTTCGATATATACAAATAGGGATATATCGAAAAAATCGCTATTTAGAGACGACCGTCAACGACGTGTGCCCTCATGCGTGTGCCCGCAATCGGGCTGTATACTCGAGCATATCCCCCTCCGCACCGCGCCGCGCGCCGCATGCCAGGCCACGCCCTATCTTTTTGCTTGCTAACGCATGAGTTGCTTTGCGTTGACGCAGAATTAACATGTTCCCGTGGGAATTTTGAGAAAAAACGTATCCTATATTAATTACTCCCGTGATTGAAATGAATCTAATGATACCGCATACATATTTTTTTAAAGGGAAATTTAGAAAAAATATTATTATGTCTTTATCCCGTGGGACTTTTAGGATAAAATGTATCCTATGACACTCCCGTAATCAAGACAAATCTAACGATACCTCATACATCAAAATCCATCAAGCCGTTTAGGCTACAGGTGGTCACAAAGGAAAAGACATACATACATACTTACATACACTCGAAAAACATTACCCTCCTTCTTTGGCAGTCGGGTAAAAATAGTCATATGTCTGTAATTACCTAGCAACAGCTAACTGAAGGAAATATAAAAAAAGTTTACTATATACTAAAATAAACGGCAATTAGCTTGGTGTATTTAAAATGGCATGTATGCCGACAATAGTTCACACATACCATTACCGTACTATTCTAAAAGCGAGTGTTCCACGCAACCAGATATTTCGCTCATTTATCAATTTTTCCAAGTGACGTTAAAATTACGTTTCAACATTGAAATGCGTAAGATTTTACACGCACATTAATTAAATGGAAACAAAAAGAAAATTGGTAATTATTGATTAATTTAAGGCGATTATTTGCAAAGTTTGTGCTAACATAATTGATATTATAGGTAGAGTAACATAATTTAGACGTCTCAATATAATAATTAGTAGTTGGAAACAAATAATTATAATCAAAGTTAATATTTAGTGAAGTCATTGAGATTTTGAAAAAATTAAAAATGAGGACGACTAAAGTAAGAAAAGATCTGAGTATCCAAGATAATGTCAGAGAATGTGACAGAAAAAGGAATTTGTAAAGGATCACGTCTGTCGGATGAGGAGAACGGGAGCATGAAAGACACCAACATTGTTCCGACCCCAATTAGCTTGGGTTAAGGACATGAGGAACAAAAAGAAGAATATTGAGGCAGAAAAGAGAGAATAAGAAAAGATAACTGGACTCTTTAACTGATATGCGCTGACTCAAAGCGAACATAACATAACGTCACGCCGTTTATCCCCGAAGGGGTAGGCAGAGGTGCACATTATACCACTGTATAATGTAACACCCACTTTTCACTATATGAGTCCCATGTAATAGGGGGTGAGCCTATTGCCTCAAAGCGATTAGAAAAAAAAACATTTCTGTTGAAGAATAATGAAGAATCTTTCAATCCATCTACCAGACTAGCATCACGCCAAATAGACTAAAGGGCGAGTAGTATAAATACGGTGAAAAAACAAATAAATCAAAGACTAAGTGCTTACAATACCGCACCAAACCTAATTATGTCATTCAAAGAAACGTAATCGTCATTTAATTGTATTTTAATGTAACCAAAGCGACACTGACTTATTTATATTAATTAGGTAGGTACTGGCTAGGGCACATACCTACTACTAAATTATTTTCACCATTAATTTTCAAGAGATAAAATTGTCTTTAAAACAGTCTAATTAGAGTTTATTTTTAAAGCAGTCACTTAACAAGCCGTCGTTTTGAAGCATTTGATTTGATTAAAAGATAAAAAAATATAGTAGTGTCATTTTAAATACCTATGACTTGTAAAATCAACGGTATTCAGCTTATGCGTGACAATAACATAGACTATAGATAAGTTAAGAATCTTGTCTATTCATAGAACGGAAATAGTTTTGTTTTATGATGTCTAGCTCATTTGTTTCACTTACATATTCTTTTCTTTTTGGTTATCATTGACAAAATACGAAGACACAAAAAATACTCATGATCAAAACACATTTCAAATGAACAATACCGAACAAGCAATGAATTATAGCAAAACGGTGTAAACAAACACGCACGAATTATGAAAGTACTGCACATTACAAGTGATATTTATCCGGTTAAACTCCATAATTTATTAAACAGGAACCAACATTTGGAGACCCCATAAACGAGGATCAAACCGGCTTAACGTATTCCGCGAAGGTCAAAAGGGGAGTGTTTTGATGACCCTCTGAAATCTATACAGATGCTAAACCAGATATGAATAAATGACATTATTATCTTGCAATTTTGGAAGCTGCAGCTGTTTAGGTGCATGACAATAAGACGGAGAGCCAAGGCATATTGTTTACTAGTATCGTTTCTTGTGGGCCTTATTTTAATCTTTATTCTTTTGGGATACATACATAACTTCACTCCTGTCTCCCATGGGGGTAGGCAGACTAGGGAACGCCAATTACTACGACTCCTACATACCTTTTTCGCTTCATCAACAGTCATCAATCTTTTCATGCATGCTCGTCGGTTAAGGGTACTTTTAATTTGGCCCTTCTTTAATATATCGCCAATCTGGTCACTTTATGTCCGTAAAGAGCGCCCTCTACCGACGGTCCCATTCATATCCCCTCTGTATACTTCTTTCGTTACTCTACTTTCATCCATCCTTTCTACTTTCTTTTGGGATACTATGGTCATAATACCAGTTGCGCATCCGTGGCGCCTGAAGCAACCATGCGAGAGACATCAAAACAAATATCAGGGCTGGCAGTCGATCCGATCTCTTGTTACGTACAACTTAAAAGGAACTTTATTCATCCCTGGTCCTGCAACTGGTTGTAGAGTCAATGGGGTGCGAATGCGGGGTCATATAATTTAATTGTTGCTAATAAGCGGTTGCGTGATCACCGGCGTGATTCGGCTGCGAACAATCACTTGGTTGTGCAACCAAGCAGACAGCAGATAAAATACGCGATCTGGTAGACGACATTGTGTCTTAATGAAATAGGGGTATTATGTATGACTGTAAGCTCGCTGTTATAATTCTTGGCAAAAAGTAAGCGTATTACAGGACTTACCAGTTTAGTCTTGTTACCAAAAAACTCCGTAATAACAAATGCGATAACAAATTACATAAGTCTATATTTTCGTCGCAAATACTTTTAGAAAGAAAATAAATTTTCCTTATTAACAGATGGAGAAAAGTTATATATTTTCAAAAGTTTCTTTCCTCAATTTTTTTGATACAAATAGGAGATTCTTAGAAATTCATACTTTTATCTGTAAGCCAAGAAAGCAATGGAATTCTATAAAAGGAAAATGATGAAAATAAGAATCTGTCCTAAACAGATCTTACGGATTTAAGGTAATCTAAAATCCTGTAGAATATCTAAAGATTAAGATTTTAAGTGTCTGGAAATGTAGTATTAGGTGGTCATTTTTTTTAGCTTTGATCCATGTTACTGAATCTGTTGGCTAAACTTATTACACACTAGAATTTTCTCCCACGTGTCAGGTATTTCCAAACACGACTGTGAAATTCCATATTGACGTTACACACAGACAAGGAACAATTTGTATACAATTTGTATATCACACAAATTATGTTACATGCAGGAATATGGTCTCCAGACACGTGCAGTAGATCCCTGCCCATTCACGGCTCTAACCAACATCTAAGTCACTCTGTGAGGTATGTAACAAGCCGTAAACCGTTTCTGATGTGCCTGTATATGGATTAACAAAAAATACTTTAACTTACCTCAAATTGAGCGCTAAATGTTTTGAAGACGCCTTCCCAGAGGCTTCCTGATTGGGTGAGCACCTGCACGATGTCGCCGACGTGCGACGTCGCTGCGTGCATGAAGTGCGCGTTATTGTAGACGCCCTCTGGCACCACGCGCCCTCGTGGTGACCTGATACAAAAAAAAAATCAATGTTAATAATCCTATGCACGTAACTTAGAAGAAACTTGTGAACTAGTACCAGCCACCGAGAACCGAGCAGCATCTTAAGCTTGACGTTCTAAATGTTCTAACTGCGATCCCCAAACGGTCCATCAAGAGTAGGGATTATGGTCAACCCATAAAAGGGGAAAGACTGCATTTATTTACGGTTTTCGATTCCGGTCTTAGTTCTAATGATAGTTCTTTAGTAGTGTTATGACTAGGAGGACAGGTACCGTAAATATTTTGATGTGCGCGTTCCTTTTAAGATTGTGAGACAAAATCACCATACAATGTATAGATTATCAACATAATATAGTCAGAAAACCAGTATCTAGCGTGCTACGAATCATGTGATTTCAGTAACATTCACTAGTCGGTCACTGACCTACACGAAAACCGCCGCCCTTGAGTTTTTTCGGCGCGCAGTCTTTTCGCATCAGGTTCGTTACGCGTCTCAAAAACGGTTACATCATCCCACTTGAGTTATAAATTAACTGGGAAAATGGCGCCAACGTATAGGTGTAACGCGTTGTTTAGACATGATTAACCTCATTATTTTAGCTAAAGAAAGTCGCGCAGACTAAATCTGTTAAAACTAGATAGGACAACCGATTAGATTTTTAGTTAATTTACCGTTAGAAACGCTTTAAAAATGTATAAGTTCTAGTTTTATTACAATTTTCACATAGTCGCATCTGAGGAGACCGGTTTACGATAATTCCGAATATAATTTAAAAATATTTATGTTTAACTAAGTTTTGTGGCTAAGTAACGACTGTTTGTGAATGGATCATCATTCATATCACATCCGTTCCGTCCTTGGAAAGCACGTAAACCTGTCGGCTACAATTGTTATAATAATATATTCTAACCTAGTTCCTAAAGCCAGGAAACAGAATGTTATTTTTTGCAATCAAAGCAGACAGGTATTTACCATATTCTGCGGTTTTAGTAATATGATTTTAAGTTCTGATTCATTTGAGGAAAGGTTTTGGATGCTACGAAGAAACGAATGTAGTATTATTAAAGATAAATAATATTGGTCACGTAACGTTATCTAGACTATCCGACAAATAATAACATGGAACAATTTATCGTTTCTGCGTTGACTTTCACTGTTCAACTGTGTCTTATAGTGTTTATAAATACAACTTTCTCAAGAAACGTTCTATGATACAATACTACGTTTAGTTGATCAGTTCATTGTTGTTACTAAACTTTTGTATTGTCGAACAAAATGTTTGCATGACCTGCTGAAACTTATCTCTGTTTGTTTTTGTAATTATTAGACAGAATCTAGTTTAAGACACGCATTATTTCACAGGCACTATCATTTCAAAGTTTCCGAAACTAAAAAGCATTGTTTCCTGATCAATTAATCACCATCACCAGTTTTAACGTCATCACATTATTGGTAAAGGAAATCCACTAATGTGATGACTCTTTTACAAATCAAATTAGTTAATCAAAAAGTGCCAAATTCGGGTCATGTCTCCTTCTGAGAGCCAGTAACATAAATTCTACGTAACTGCCTTTAAGTCACAAAAAAGGTATGTCAGGTACAAAATACGACAGTGTTTTCGTCTCTGAAGCATGATGGATAGATACGAATCAGTATTGATTATGATATCAAGTGCTGGCTGTCGTACCGAGCCAGGCACAACCAAACACGTAGCTAAGTAGGTAATGCATAGGGATTCAGCCATATTTTTGTGTAAACATGCTAAATATAGGTCTTTTGCTTATTGATTACTAGAGAATCCTGATAATAAACACCTGTGTTAATGGAGGTTTGATATGCATGAGATAGGTCTGAATTTAGCCTACGAATAATATCTTGATTGATACGGTTTTGTCATATCAACCACAAGGCGTCCACTACTAGACCTAGGCATTTACTATTAACTTCTAGAAAGTTTTTCTGTGTCATAAACCTTTTCAAATTAATTTATTCATTCAATCATCTTTATAACTTCACGCCTGTCTCCCATGGAGTAGGCAGAGACTATGGATGGCCAATTGCTACGACTGCTACATACCTCATTTACATACTCATGTAAGTGTTATTTTAAAGGTTTTCAATCCGTTTATATGTTTTATTAGTTTCTGCTAGCGGCTTCTATGTTCCCGTTGTATAAAAAGTAACCTATGTGTTATACCAGACCATATTCTACTCTTGTACTAAATATCATCCCGATCACTTCAGCCTTTTTGACGTAATTAAGTAACAAACATACACAAAATCTTTAAACTTTGGCATTAATAATATCAACGAAGTAAGATTAATACATTTTGACAGCCAAGATTCAGGCTACAATCTAATACATAATATTGTTTATTCAAGCTACCTAGACCTCACGTTTAGTTAATATATCTACCAAAAAGGGGAACTTAGGAAATCTGATATGATGGATGTGTAAAACTAAAACCCGGTTTGGCATTGGCTAGTCGCACAAATAAGGTTTTATTGTAGTCTGAAGGTCAAGGATGGCAGTTATGTGCAAAACTTTAGTGGCATTTGAAACCTTGGGACATATCCTGGATGTGTATGAGTGGAATAGGATTTTGATTGCATAGATTTCGTCGGAAGGAGATCTGCTGATCAAAAGAGAGCCAGTGCCCCGAAATGATTAAGTATCTGTTCGATAACTAGAATTTAAGCCCTAATTTTGATACTAACTAGTGCCTAGATATATTTAGATTAAAAACAAATAATGAATAATATATTAATTGAGGTACTAAACCTTTAATATCCTATACCTGGAAAAGTAGATTAAAAATTATGAAATGTCACACAATTTTAACACAAAATTCCATAAACTAAACGTAGGTATATAAAATATTTAACAATATAAAGTTACATAAGGACGTGAATATTAATGAATTAGGTACATGACATTGTAAATAAAGTATGCTACCAGCACTTCTGTCTACCCTTGACCTATAACAAGTACTATATCTATTCGCGATCCACCATTGTTTAGCATGGAAACAAATAGATTATCGTCATGCTGTAACTAAGAAACTTATGAACTTTTATTTATGTAAGAAAATATAATAAGACATTACAGCAATCTAACGCCCGAATACTGAAAGACTACTAAATTTTAAGTTTCGGTTAACTATAGTTCTGTCACAACTAATCCATATCCTTACTTATATTATAAATCGGAAAGTGAGTTTGTTTGTTTGTTCCACTTTAACGCCGTAACTACTAAACCAATTGCTTTGAAATTTTGTAGACGTAAAGTTAGAAGTCCGGATTAAATAATAGGGCACTTTTATCCCTGAAAAATTTGATATTCCCGAGGGAGAACAAAAGAATTGGTATAGATGGCGCTGTGTGTATTGGTATATGTCACATTGGCTTTTTATCCTTTTGTGACGCGAGCGAAGCCGCGGGTAAAAGCTAGTTCTTTATAAAATGACGGAGATGGCATGATATTTAAGTACTTACAGCTTAAAATTCAGTATTCGGTCGTAAGTGGATTCTAGACTTAATTCCAGAAGGACCCCATAAAGTGTTTGGAGTTAAAATGGTGTAAAAAACAATGGCGTTTTTGTCGTTTATGATATGATGGCGAGTGATAGAGAAGAATGGAAGAAGACAAGTATTGGACAAACCCCAAGTAATTTAGGATGTGGAAAGAAAGATGATGAATAAATAAGCTTCTTACAGCAATAAGACTTCTGAGACCACTTGTGACAAATATGGTGTTTGGCGTTACAAACATAAAATAACTAAAATCCTATTAAGTAATATTATGAATTCGAAAGTTTGTATGTTTGCGACTTCTTCACATTAAAATGGATGAAGGGATCGAGATGAAAGTTGGAACAGGGTTAGATTATGGTCTGGAATTCTAAAATAACACGTAGACTTTTTATTCCACAGATAAGCGGGCAAAGCCATTGGCAGAAACTAGCTAAGGACACAAGTAACACTTTTCTTTAGTTTAGTTATATCTATGATACCTTACAGGGCTTTTGTTGAACCACATGACAGGCAAAAATGTTTATCTAATTGTAAATGTTAACATTAATTAATTGTTAGGTATATTTATTTATATAATTATGTTAGCATACATAAACCCTACTACTGGATAAATGTGATAACTGATAATGTTCATTCATACCATAATAATGTATTTATTTTACATATTGTTATTAATTATCAAATGAAGAATAATATAACATTTACAGAGATAATTGTTATTATTAAGGTGAATGCTGGGAAGTCCGTATACAAGGCAACTTCGTCTACGCGTCATTACACTCGTTCCTTTATAATTTAGGGAGTATAACGCTCAATCGGTAAAGCAGTTTAGTGGTTTAGTTCGAATTAAGAATAATAGATGTCGCTATACGCCACTTTTCGGAAGTAAATTGACTTCTCTTTTTAGTCGCGTTTTATACTCGATGAACAAGTGACACGTGTTGTGAAAAAAAATAGAAAAAGGTGCAAAATCACACAAATTGAAGCGTTAAGTGAATTAATGTAAGTATTTCAATATGTCTTCTTTATGATTATTTCATTAATTTGACCAATAATGCTAAGAATTTTGTAATATTAATTTAAGTAAATATCTAACCTTAAAATACCATAGTTGGGAAGACCGTATAATACGCACGAGGTAAGTCCGTCATATGACGGTCTTGCCTTTAAGCAGAGATCTTCAATCTTTTTAGATTATGTATGTATTTTCAAGATCCCTTCCTTCATTTCCACTTTTCGATTACATGTTGCTAATATTAAATAACAATAAATACTTTATTTAAAGTATAATGAATATATGGGACAAAACCGAACAAGTGTTTTTTTTTTTGCAGAAATGAAAAATATTGGATATGCCTGGATTAGTTCACTTGGATGTTGATCGTTTTTTAACCAGGAATGACATCGAACTTTTAAACCAATACATTATATGGCCGTGGCATGTGACACATTTTATTCTATCTAGAAGATG